AAGTTTATTTGAGACTGCATGTAGTATATTTTTTTTTTTTTAAAAAAATCTAATTTTATTGATAAGATTAAATGGTACAATGCGAGAATTAAAAGAAAAGAAAACAGTGCAAAAATAGGAAAATAAAGAAAAGAAAACAAAAGAACTAATCCCAAGGGAAGTCTCTGGATTGAGACCTGGTCGTCATGTTGTGACGCCTTTTATTCTTTTGAGATTTTCTGTAAATCTTCAGTTGTGTGTTTAAGTTGTCTGTTGGAAGACAGTTTTCTGAAGTTACGAACTTTGCTTTGCTGCAAATTGCTCTATTGAATTTGGAATTCCTAATCTCTTCTGGGTATGAGATAGGAGGACGACGGTCGCTTTCAGTTGCATGTCCAAGAAAGTCTTATGTGAAAAAGGAGTCATCAGAGTGATCAAAACTATCAGAGGCGTCTGAGTAAGCTTGGATCGATGGCAATTAGAGTTGTTTCCCTGGAGAGACGACATGTTGATTCTCAATACTTGCTACCTGGATTTGATAGTTTAAAATTAGCTTAGATATGGATGTGGTGTCCTCAATTTCGAAGTTGCTCTCGCGATGTAAAAAGATAGAGTCATCCTGCATAGATTCTGGAAGCCCTACAAAATTAGAAAAAATATTCAGGAATTTAAACAGACTTGATTTTTGAGGACCCATGGGAATCTGAGTCGAGCTCCCCTTTCTTTCAGCTAGTTTGACGTAGTCTCCTGATTTGTTAGTTTCCAAAGAAACTGTGATATCTCCAAATTGCTTAGTCTGTGTAAAATTTGACCGCTTAGAGATTGTGATTTGGGAGATGAAGCGGATGATTTGAGGAGCAAGGTCAAGTTTGAATTGAATCCTGTGCAACTGAGATTTTTTGACTTCTAAAATGACCAAATCGCTGTTTTGGACAGCAAATTTAAAAATTTTAGACTCAATTTTGATTGAGTCAAAGCCTTCCTCTCCGAAGAAAAAGAAACTTTCAGGTACCAATGTACCAGAGCACTCACATAAAAAATACAGAGTAACAATTGTCCTATCTTTGATCAAATGGCCAAAATGACGTACTCCCGTAAATCGTTTAGGTGTGTTTGAATAGTAAAATCGTTTAGGTGTGTTCAAATCGTAAAATTGTACCATTTTGCAATTTAAATCGTGATTTTAACAACTTTGTTTATATCTTTGATTAATGAATTGAAGTCGATGATTGTAAAGTTTTGACAATGGTTTCCATGAGTATAGTCTTATGCAAATTATTAATGTTATACTCCGGTACTTTTATTACAGTATTTTATCAAAAACAAAAAATTATATATCACTTTTTATATTTTAATTATATACTCCCTCCGTTTCTAAAAGAACCTCACACTTTCCTTTTTTGGATGTGCCAAAATAAAAGTCACACTTCCCTTATTTCCTTATTTGGCAAAGAAATCTACATCCAAACAGTGTCAAACAGTGTCAAACAGTGCCAAACAGTGTCCAAACAGTGCCAAACAGTGTTTTCTACAGTAAAGTCAATTTATTTCCTTAATAATCGTGAAGTCAAACTGTGACTTTCTTTTAGAAACGGAGGGAGTATAAAAGTTTACCGTAATTGTTCCCTACCTACGGGCAACGGCAAGAAAACCCACGCTCATATTATACCAAGTACTCCGTAGTATTTAATGAACTCTTGCAAACTGCAAAGGAGTTGAAAAACGAGGAAGTATTTGGACCATAGAAAATGGTATGGGTGGGCATAACGGTTTGGTTTAATCGAACCGTACCGAACTAAAACCGGACCGTATGCAATTTCGTTTGAGTTTGGTACTATTTCTTTCAAACAGTATTAAACCGAACCGAACCGAAACCGATAAAAACCGAACAAAACCGAACCGAACCGAACTAAAGAAACTCAAAAAAACTTTCATATATTATTAAAATTGTTGGTTTGATTTGGTTTGGTTTGGGTTTACTTAAGTAAACTGTTCGGTAAACATTTGCTCAAACCGAATGATTTGGTACTTTGGTTTGGTTTGGTTTAAAACGGAAAAACCATAAACTGAACCGAACAACATATACACACACACACTTTGTATTTATCTTCACTCTTCATTTTTAAGATATAAATAAATAATTCAGACATGAAAATACATATTTAAGCATATACTCGTATCATTTTAACTTCTACACATTTCATACATTCATTATGACAAAGTTAGCTAATACGACATATTTGTATTTATTATGTTTGGCGATAACAATAGCAAATTGCATTTATATTTTTACATGATTCATTTGAATAAAATTGTGAATATTACAACATTTGTACCACCGACTCTTTTAAGTTTTTTGAATATTTTATGTGATATTATAAATGCTAATCAACTATATTATTTTTTGTAAGAAGTGAATTTTTTGTAGTGATAAAAAAGATGTTAGAAGTTTCAATTTATAATATTTTATTATTTATTTTTCTATCTTTTATTTTCTTTTACATTTTATTTAAATAATCAATAAAAAAAGATGAGATGGACTACTACTTTCATTTTCTAATTTTTGAAATATAGAACTTGATCAAATAAAATACTATCAAATATACAACATAAGCAAACGAATCAAATCAAACTAAATTAAACATAATATTTTTTACTTTGGTAAACCGAACTTCAAACCGATCCGAAACCAAACTGGAACACAAATGGTTTTAGTTTGGTACAAATTCTCCCAACCCGAATAAACCGAAACCGAACCGAAACCGAAGAAAACCGAACCATAAACCGAATTGCCCATCTCTAGAAAATGGAATAGGGAAAACAACTATGTTTGGCTCTATATTGGTGATAAGGAAAACAAATCAAAATAGAATAAAGGTTTTGAAATTCTGCATCTATTTGGAAGCAAATTATAGCTTGAGGAACCTCTAGTTCTGTCGACATGGATCAAACATTTTGCCATTGGATTACTCAAACCGTTATTTGTACACTTATCTTTTAGCCCACACTATATATACTTAAAAATTTTAGGGAAAAGTACGGATAGCCTACCTGTGGTTAAAGTCATTTACGGAGAGGGTCATGAGTTTCATTTTTTCCCAAACACATAATCGTGGTTTCCTTCCGTTAGCACCACAGGGGTCTCAGCCCATTGGCCGTTAAAAATTAATGTCGTGGACACTTATTCCCTCAAAATGGAGGCCGCGTGGGTGTATTTTTTCCAGGTCAGACAAATTATTTTAAATAAGGCATGAATTAAGTCTTTTAATTTGCTTAGAGAGCAAGAGCATTCATAAGACGAAGACTTTGTTAAAGGGGTAAAGGAGGTGTACGAATGAGCTCTTCGAAATCCAACTCCAGTGCAAACACCCGACGAACTGATGTACGAAGTGAATGGATTAAGAGGTGCGAGTGTGGTATCCAAGCGCCAATTTGGACAGCAACTACAGAGAAGAACAAAGGGAGAAAATTCCATGGTTGTGGTAGATATATGGCGGTTGGTGTTGAAAAATGCAATTTCTTTGAATGGGTTGAAGAAAACGCATGTGGAATGTCATTTGAAACCATGGAATCTGTCTTTGACAAGATTTCAAACGTCGAAGAAGCTTTGAAGGTTAAGTTGTTGGAATTGCAGACTGAAATGCACTCTTGTTTGCTAGGGATCAATGATTTGCAGAAACAAAATGGAGAAATCATAGTGGCAATGGCTAAGAATGAGAAATCCAGTGTGAAGATGAAGATGTTATGGTTGATGTCGTTTGTTGTTATAATTCTGGCGATGAAATTATTGCAGGATTTTTAGGTTGGTAGGTGTTTGATGTAATGACTGAATGAGTATTAAGTGTTTGTATTGTTGTTTTGTTGTAAGAACATTGTTTGAATTATGGTAAGTTGTTATGAGTAAGGATTTGGTGTTCCAAAAATCTTTATGGACTGAGGTGAAATAAGAACTTATGTGACAGTGAAGCTTTATATGCAAGTGTGATACCAAAGGGGTTGTACATGCACAAACCAGAAGCTTTATATGAGTGCCCAAATCATAAGCTTTATACCAAAGGGGTTTTACATGCACATAAGCAAATGTGAAGCTTTATATGACTGTCCAAACCACCATAAACCTAACCAAAATTGTTCCGGTGACTAGCCAAAAACAACCCAAACTAGATCTACATTAACATAACCATACATTAACCAATACATCAACCATACATTAACCAATACAAAACCAAAACCAGAACCATACATTAACCAATACAAAACCAAAACCAGAACCAAAACCATAACGTCATCTGCCAGAATCACAGAACCAAAAGTTTTCCTTACTACGCAAAAAGTTGTCAAAAGGCTTGTACATTTACATAACCAAATGTTACCATAAGTAGGCAAAAATTGCCCAAAGGGCATCTACATTTACATAACCAAACTGTTTACATGACTAGGCAAAATAAACCCAAAGGGCTTGTACAATTGCAGAACCAAGTGTTTCCATCCATTCTAAGCAAAAAAAAACCAAAGGGCTTCCACATTTACATAAGCACACTGAACATAGTAGCACCACACATGCCAAATCTGCTACCACCAGACACTTCTTCTCTACCTTCCTCAAATGTTTCCAGCATTACCAATCTGCAAGCATAGTAAACATATTACTTAAAATATGTGGTCACTTACACACTATGTAATATTATGTATTTAATTTACCATAGATGGTTGTGAACTACTACTCCTTGTAACTCTTCTGCATGTTGGTTGAGGCTGTGAGCTACTTCTTTCTCTCTTCTTGGTTGCATTTCTGGTTGCAGGTTGTTGGCTATTAGAGGGTGCATGCTCCTGTATCTCCCTTTCCCTTTCAGCTTGCCTTAGCTTTGCCTTACCTAACCTATTTCTTCTCTGCCATGGTGTTTCCCCTGTAATAGAAGTTTTGCAGCCTCTAACATTGTGCCCAACTTGATTACAGTTTCCACATACCACTTGTTTCCCAGCCCTAGAGACCTTGAATGGATTCCGGGTTTCATCAGTCTGTTTAACTCTCTTTTTTTTTTGGCCTACCAGCCGGTTTTCTAGGTACTGGGGGAATAATGTCAGGATAATCAGTGGTTTCCCACTCTTCTTTACTAGGCACAGGGTGAATGATGTGTTCATACACAGCAATATATGTGGCTTTTGAGTAATATGGGCTCACATAGGTCTCTGGTTTTTCTCTATTAGCAAATATAGCACAAATTCCATGCTTACAGGGAATTCCATTTAAATCCCACATTCGACATGTGCAAGTTTTGTCTTTCAAATTTACAACATGACTAGTATCATAGTAATCAACCTCATATAGGTTATCCCCAGCTGGGGTGGCATAGCAATTCCTACTTTCAAACTTCAGTTTCTCTAGGAGATCCTGTTTATTTGGACAAATCTCACCTTTATACTTTTTCATCGCAGTGTACTTCACATGAAACCTCTTCATCAGTCTTTTCCTTATCCATTCAAACATGCTAACAATGGGCATACCTCTAGCTCTAAGAATGTATGAATTGAATGACTCACACATGTTGTTTTGAAGAGCATCAGAATGTGCATGAGGTGAAAAATGAGCCCTACTCCAAGTACTGGGAGGATACTGCATTAACCACTGGTAGGCAGCCTCATCGAAGTTTTTGATCCCATCCATTCTCTTTTTCCATGATCTGAGGCTCCCTGTAGTCGCAGCTAACCACAATTTCTTTTTGTACTCCCCACCACTGAAGACTTTGCGGAAGTTCTCATACATATGCTTCACACAATACCTATGCTCATTTTGGAGATTAACTGCCTTGAAGGCCCCAACTAACCCCTGAAAGAAATTCATTATTATTAATGTAGGACATAGCACAAAATAGACACTCAGACCTCATTTGGAATGAACTAAAGTGTTATGTTTTTTTTACCACCAAACTGGGAATGAAATCAAAGTATGCAAGCATAACATGTACAGAATATAATTTCATTTCCAAATAAGGCCAGAGGAATATAATTTAATTTCCAAATAAGGGCAGAATACATATATATAAGTTAAGAAGTTTCAAAAGGAATACCTTTTGCTTGTCAGACATAAACACCCAATTAGTCTCTTCCGGCCTTCCAAAATCTTCAAACATTACCTGAAGAAACCATGTCCAAGAGGCTTTGTCTTCACTATCAACATAAGCAATTGCTAGAGGAAACATGTTCTCATTTCCATCCCTAGCCACTGCACACAATAGTTGTCCACCCATTGAAGTCTTCAAATGACAGCCATCTAGACATATCAAGGGTCTGATCCCAGAAAAGTACCCTTGCTTCTGTGCAGTGAACCTCATATACATGTACTGTAACATGGGCAATTGTCTGGGTAACCTAGGAACCCCTTCTTCAGCCTCTACATGTTCATCCACCTCCCTTAATTCTGTTTTGATCTTAACAACACTACCAGGGTTGTATTTCAGGACAGTTTCAGCATAATCTCTCAATCTCCTATACTGCTCTTTTATGTCACCTTCAATCTTTTCCCTAGCTTTAACCCTAGCTCTATAGCACATGGCTAGACTCACTTCTGCACGCAGTTGTCTTTGTATTGTCTTTTGCATTACAGTCACATCCCAGTCAGGATTATCTCTCAACTCATCCATATATTTTTCACTCAAAAATGTGTTACTGATCAGACTATTCCTATTATTAAAAGGACATTCATGCTTAGGTCTGAAAGTTTTTATCTGGAAGTAGGGAGCATCCCTAAGCTTTGAAGCATGGACCCTAAAAGAGCAGGTTTCCTTATTTTTACAAACTACAGAGATGTTTTTCCTTGTGTTTTTCTGATATATGAAATCAAATCCACATTTTATAGCCCAATCCTTTAATGCCTTCCTAAATTCAGCATGGTCACAGAATTTCATACCTCTGCGCAAACCACTGATCTTAGATGAGGTTTCATCATTAAATTCAGGATGCCTAGCCTCATCATCTGATGACCCTATGATGCTGTGTAGTTCTTCACTATAGGCAGGATCTTCATTGAACCCCCCCAAGTCTTCTTCATTTATCTCTTCTTGATTTATCTCTTCTTCATTTCTCTCTTTTTCATTTATCTCTTTTTCATTGTATTGTGTTTGATCATTTGCTTCTTCATCATTTTCTTCCAACTCCTCTCTTAAATCCTCCAACAGATCATTGTACAACTCCTCTTCACTTCCTTGTAGATCTTCAAGCAACCAGCTAGCTTCTGTAGGGTTTGTATCAGACTGCTCAAATGAAGAGCTATCATTCACAGGGCTTGAACATTCATAATCCGCATCTGTGTCACTGTCACTACCAAATTGGGCTTGTAAGATTGTAGGAGCTGGATGTTCAATTTGGGTAATTGGTAGGGTGTGGCCTATAGGTGGGGTTTCAGTAGCCAAAGAGGTGTGGGCTTCCTGAATAAATTGGGCATGTAATGGACTTTGGGCTACCTCAACACTTTGAATAGCTAAACAGGTCTGGGCTGCAGTTTTCGAATTAGAAGGTTTGGGGGGGCTTTTTGATGAATTCCCCTTTTTACTACTTTTAGAAACAAAATACACATCAATGTGTGGGTCCATTATCTTGCAAACCAACATGTCCTTCACATCTTTATCACAACCAATTTGTTGCAAAGAAACAGGCCCACACATCTCACTAAACCTTCTAAACCACATATCTACCCCATTGATATAACCCAAATCCTGAGCATACCCTTCAAACTCAAACTTACTAAGGAAGTCTATGTCCACATTCTCCATTATCTTCACCTCACCTCCCAAATATTGTTTCTTCTTTTTCGGACAATCCCATTTCCCACCATGGTGAATCCACAGGTTCACGTGCTCATCATCCATTACCAGCCTATACATAAAATATCATAAAGACAACCAAAACACAATATTCAACACCTTTACTTCAACGATGCAACAAACATTAATGAACAACCAAATACTCGTTTAATATGTGTGTAAAACGACCAAGGTTAAGTAAGTTTCTTCAATTTTCAACTTACTTGATAAAGAGCAGCAAGATTTTTGGACCGAGCTTCTTCTTCGACCGCCAAACCTTCAACCTAATTTGTCGTTTGATTGTAATAACACGCTCTAAACCCATCACTGTAGCTAATTAAAATAATTTGTCTGACCTGGAAAAAATACACCCACGCGGCCTCCATTTTGAGGGAATAAGTGTCCACGTCATTAATTTTTAACGGCCAATGGGCTGAGACCCCTGTGGTGCTAACGGAAGGAAACCACGATTATGTGTTTGGGAAAAAATGAAACTCATGACCCTCTCCGTAAATGACTTTAACCACAGGTAGGCTATCCGTACTTTTCCCAAAATTTTATCATTCTAATTTTATATTCTACCTAATTAAATCTCCACCTCATTCTTTTTCTCCCCACTACCTTTTCTTTTTTCTTCCATTTTCATCATCTTCACATCCACTTCATATACTTTCATCTCCACCATATTTATCATCATCAATTCATTATTCTTCCTTACTCCATCTTATTTTCCTCAATCCATCTAAATCATCTTCTACTTCCAACTACTTCACCATATTCATCACGTCTCATCCTCACTATCTTTCTGATAGAGTATATGGGCTCGGGTCCTCGACCCACATACTTTCGAGACATATGAGCGGCCCAACCAGAAAGCCTGACCCGGAGAGAAGAAACGGACTCCCTAGGCCAAACTTCACCTCGGACGAATCACTTCGGAGAGGACATCTCGAGGAGGATTGCCATACGCACCACCCGAAGCATCTCGGCCCCCGACATTAACATCAACCCCTTCTATCCCCTTAGTGGATTAGAACGCTTGTAAACCGACCCATTAGCGGCCCATTATCGTAACTGGGCCTCCTCAGGCTCGAGTTTGGGAGCCCTGCCCCTGTATTTCCTATAAATACCCCCTTTTGGGGGTGGTTGTGGGATTGGAATCTCATTTATTGCTAGTTCTCTCTCTCTCTCTACATTTTTAGCTCTCTCTTCTCTCTACACTTCGGCTTAAGTCGGGAAGCTATCACTTTCATATTCATCACATCATCACCTTTTTTGATCGATTAGGGAAAAAGAAGTTTGAGATCATAGTTACCGGAAGTTCACCTAAAAATTAGAGATGAACATTCGTCAATTTTTTTGTCTGTGGATATAGTCACTGGTTTTTTTAGTGTTTGTGTGCACAGACAAAATTGTTGTGCACAGACAAAAATGTACAAATTCTATGTGTACAAACAACTAAATGTCTGTGTACAGACATTAGTGTTTGTGCAACCAAACTCTGGCAATTCTGTAACACAACGTGAAAACCAAGGGTGGAGTCAGAGCACTGGAGCGATACAAAGATTGTTTTTGGAAAAAAAAAATCACGAAATATTTTACACTACAAATATAGACTTTTTTTTAATTTGGGCTAGGCCGAGACCAGGGTTAGCCCCTCCCTAGCTACACAGACAATTTGTATATTTTTGTTTGTACTTGATAATTTGAATGGTTTATCCCGACAAACTTGTTAAACCACAAACAAAATATGGCGCTGAGTTTGACGGAGTGATAAAAAAGCTCAAAGATTGGAGGTGTGAGAATCCAAGTTTTGGCAAATCTCGAGGATTCAAGGATCCATATGAGGATCCCTTTAAATAGAAGCCGTTTGGCTTGGATTATGCAAGGCTAGCCTCTCTCTTCTTCCCAATTAGGCAATTAGCCAAAACATATTGTGGTACATTAAAGTATTAAACAATATGGAGATGGAGTTAGGCTCTTGCGTAGAAAATGTCCAAAATCACTCTTAATTTTTGTGAGTTAGCACTTGCGTGTATCTATCTTCCAACCACCCAGGGCAATTGCCAATGGCACGCACTTCGGACTGTCCACCTCTTAATTCATGAGGGAATTAAATAGCTTTTCTAATTAGTTTTTGTATGCATATACAATACGAACGCGTTCATGGTACACTACATTTATTTTGTGTTGGACTATGAGTTAGTGTGATAAATAAATTATAAATTTAAAAGTTATATATTTGTTGTAAACAAATTCACCTTAAACTTTTCAAACGGGTGCATATATGTTAGCTACTTAATTAAATAGAACAATTGAATGTTTAAGGGTAGGGTTGTAAATGAATCAAATAATTTGTGCTCGATTCGCGATTCGAATTCGTATAAGACGATTCGAATTCGGAAAATTCAAATACAAATACAAATAAGAATATTAAATTTGATTCGAGTTGTTATCAAATACAAATAAGAATATCAGTGTATTCGATTCGAATATTAATCAAATATATTCGATTAATAATAATGGTAATATCAATATCAACATTAATAAAAATAGTAATAACACTGTAATAACTTTTAAAAGATAGTTACTCTCAAAGTGTAATCTATATATACATTTTTGCATACAAATGTCAAGCCTATTTGTAATAAACCAAAATATAAATACGAATACAAATCAATTCTTTGGTTCAAATGTCTTTCAAATACAATACAAATAATTATGTATTCGATTTGAAGAATAAAATTAGAGGTGTTTGACTTTGATATATACAATTATTAACTTATTTCACACATTATAAGTATAATTTATAATATGTGTGTGTTAGTGTTAATTTCAAAGGGTTTGAAGTAGATCTATATTTATTAATAATAAAATTAATTCACCTTAGTATATTGTGCACCATCTAAAAATGCAATGATCCATTAAATTTAAATTCTAAAAACACATATTAAGTCATAGCATGCATTTACAACATAAACAATATGGAGTATAAGAAAAGTTATTTTAAAGCGATACTCCGTATTTGACTAATATTTAACCTATAATCAAATCGATTCGATATTCGTATATAATTCGTTAACTATTCGTATTGTTAAACAAATACAAATACAAATCGAAATTAATATTCGTTGCATATTTGAATTTGAATTCGTATTCGAAAAAATTAAACAAATACAAATACAAAATCTCACTATTCGACTTGATTCGATTCGTATACAACCCTATTTAAGGGTTAAAATGGAGATGAGATTAGGCCTTTATGGGATTTTACGAAATGAGTTAGAAATAAGGATTTTTTTACTTGGACTGTAATCTGTACCAGATCAGATCAGATCAAACTTGGATAGTTATAAAAATACAAAGATACCAGATCAGATCAAACCAACAAATTACAGTCCACGTAAAAACATCCTAAAACTTTACAAATAAATCATTTCAAATAGGGCTAAAACTTAGACAAAATGCACAAATAGGAGTAATTAGGTTGTATTCCCAAAATAGAACTTATTTGATCATATTAAAGTAAGGAGTATAAAACTTTCATAATTAGGACTAAATGAGTCATATTTTGGAATGGAAATAATGACAGTCCTATTCATGCACTTTGTCTATGTTTTTGACATAATTAACGTATTGTCTCAACTTTAAACTATTGTGCTCGGTTGGTCCAGTTTCGAATTCGTTGACTGAAATATGACTAAGACAATAAGACTTAGACAAAGCTATTGTTAAAGTATTTGTCCTACATCGAACAGTTATAAAACAATAAAGCACTATACAAGGCTTTGGAATACTCATCATATCAGTTTGACCTTTTAGGATGAAATCTCGGGTCATAACATGATATCGAAGCCAAGTCCAATTGTGATTTGATCATTTGACTGCTTGTTTAGCATGCATGATTAATGGCAGCTTTTTAATCATCTGTTTGACCCATATATAAGACTTGATATTGTCCAACCATGTTAAAGTATTTGTCCCACACTAAAAAACTATAAAACAATAAATCACTATATAAGGTTTTGTGTTACTCCTCCTATCATGTTGACCTTTTAGGATGGAACACAGAGGCTAAAATACGATCTTTGTTTTTCCTGAAATACGATCTTCCTAAATGTGGAAGTTTTATACTTTTAATATTTTCAACTAACTCCTATTTTGGAAATAAAATACAATTAGTCCTATTTATGCATTGTTTTTCTATGTTTTAATCCTATTTGAAGCAAATACTAATAAAGTATGTAGTGTGAAAAATATTATGAAGTAAGTGTTTGCAAAACATTTTTGGAATATCTATCTAAACCTATTATGGTATATCATAGACCTCCTCTTTTGTATGATGTCATGGGACCACAAGTTGTTTGGTAAAATATTAAAAACTAGTTGTCATAATTTTATTAAAAACTAAATTTGATCTTTTACCGTATTGTGAATTGAGTGCGTGGACAGCTTTCCACTTATATCAAGGACTAAAAACAAATTTTGAGAATTTTAAATGTCCACGAGCAAGTGAGAGAGCGTTCTAAATTGCTTTTCACTTCATCTATTACACTAAGATACACTATTTTTCGGCTTATCAGACTTATCAACCAACTTTTCACCAAACACGTAACTTTTGCTTTCACGCGGTGAATTGTGTAATAAGCAGAAAAAATAAGGTCAGAGTTACTTTTCTGGCTGTATTGGCTGAAGTTACTGTAGATGACCATTTTAGCTTTTTGTTACATATAATTTTTTCTTTATTTTATTAATAAAACATATTTTAAAAATATTTTTTCCTTAAATCAGCAGAATCAAGCAATACAGCCACTCCAGCCAGAACTTCATAAATTTCAGCAGGATCAGCCAAAACAGCCGATTTTCGTGCTACCAAACAAGCTCTAAATGTTCTTTTTTAGCAAACACCGTTGACTTTTACTTTTCCAAAATCACGTTATTATTTAAAACAGTCAGCCTTTATGCTATGTTTGGACAAAGTGAAGTTAAGTAGACCTAGTGCAATAAAGTAAACCTAAGTTTTAATAAAAACTAGGTTAACCTAAGTGATCCTAGGTCCAAACATAAAATAGTGTTTGAATATATAGAAGGTGAACTTAGTTAATGTAATAAATGTTGTTTGGATGGTACTCTAGCTCATTTTATGTTATACGAGAACTTAACCTCCAAAACCCCCGATTCGGAGGTTCTTCAATTTAAGGTTCTTCCAGATTCTCGGGAGTTAAGCGGGGTTAACACATAATCTAGGTTCTTGTTGCAAAAATACAAACAAACGGGGTTAACTAGAAATTGAACCTTCAATAACCTAGGTTAACCCCCAAACAAACATGCCATTAGTATTAAGCAATTGCTCTAAAAACAACTGATGCAAACACTCAATATGTTTTGATCAAATGCACACTTGAATCTTATGTGGTCTGTGACTAAACATAGACAATATGTTGATGAAAGGAAGTGGGCATAATGAATTTGTTGACTCTAGGAAATTTGGAAACTTATTTTGATTTGAAGGACATGGGTCTTCCTCATCAAGTGCACAAGCATCTTATAGAGGTCTAAACTACTCAATCTACGTACTCTAATTTACTCCACTAGAGTTTTCAAATACAGTATATATATGGTCGTTTTTTTTACGAATAACACCACCTAAGGTTTTCATAAACATGTCTTTCACAATTGACATCGAGAGTGGAGTTTTCAGTTTTATAAGAGGCTAACGCATAATCTTGGTTGGTTTTACAAAGGTTAACCAAAAACCTAATTGACTTGAAAAGAGGATCAACTAACATCCTTGAAGTTAATTAGTTTCAAATAAGCTGACCAAGAGAACCGCCATTAATTTTACTAGGGACTAACCAAATCCATATTCACTGATTATTTTGCTAGAGGCTTATCAACAACGTCAGTTGATTTCAAGGAAAACTAAACGAAGGCTTACCAAATATACAAATGGAAATAGTTTTTTTTTTATAAATATCTTCCACAAGGACCTCAAAAGCTCATAGATACAAGTCATACAACATAATTCTAAGGTTC